TGTGAACTAAGAATGCTCATGTCTGTAATCGTAGCACTCTGGGAGGCTAAGGCAGGTGGATGGCATGAACTGACAGATTAGAAACCAGCCTGGGCGGCTCCTGTGGCTCAAAGGAGTAGGGTGCGGGTCTCTTATACCGGAGGTGGCATGTTCAAACCTGGCCCTGGCCAAAAATTGCCAAAAAAGAAAAAAGAGAAAAGAAAAAGACTCCCTCCTCTTGGAGGCAAGAAGATGGCTTGAGCCCAAGAGTGGGAGATTGCTGGGAGCTATGACGGCCAGAGCACCCTACTCTGGACCACAGCTAGAGACTCTGTTTCAAAAAAAAATAAAATAAAATAAAAATTTTTTAAAAGTTAAAAAAAAAAAATAGGAACAGTAAGTCAGTCAAATAGGCCAAACCAGAAATAGGGAATAAAGATAATAATCTTTAAAAAGAAAAAAACTGAGGACAAGGGTGGCACCTGTGGCTCAAAGGAGTAGGGCTCCAGCCCCATATGCCAGAGGTGGCGGGTTCAAACCCAGCCGCGGCCAAAAACTGCAAAAAAAAAAAAACCCAAGGGCCTAATCAGGCACTACAGAAAAAGTTAATAGCATGTATAATGGGGTTTTTTGATGATGATTCTTTTTTATTAGTATTTTTAATTTTACTTATTTTTTATATATATTTAACTTGCCTACATGTTGTTAATCAGATAAGTATAATATAGTTTTGTATACTTTTGAAATTACCCCCTATATAAATTATTCCTATTTCCTACATAGACAAAACAAGATTTAAAAAATTACTCTCGCTGTTCTCGGGAATCGCAGGCTTTCGGATAATAACGACTTTCACGAATGAATCATCTCCCTGCCTCCGTGTTTAACTACAATGACCGGCAACAGAGCCACTTTCCGTTTAGCAACACCGTGAGCCACCGAGCCCGGCCCTAAGTCTACGTTTAACAGGAGAATAGAGGGAGTGGGGGCCCCACGGACTACAGTCCCTCCCATGAATAGGCCACCCAGCTGAGATTCCTCCCTGAAGACTCTTTCATTGTCACCACCAGGGAGGGATGCAGGTTGCTGCAGGCACACAGTGAAAGGCCTAAAGGACCCCAGTTTGCACTCTGTTTTCCCCCTCCGTTTCAGCACCTAGACCTTGCAGAAATGGGAGGTTAAACAAATCTATCTGGCAGAGACAGGGGATTAGCCCAGAGTTGAAGCAGACCCTAGGAAACCCGCATTTCTATCCTCAGTTCCCCTGGTAACTAACCAACCCCCAACCCTGTAGAATCTTGCAAAGCCTCCTTTCACCTAAAGGATTCCATTCCTCCGCTCCAACTGAAAGGCAAAAAACTCCCTTCCTTTGTCATGCGGATGCCAAGACATTTGAGGTGTGAAAACCCTTCTCCGTGGGCTAGCCCATAAAGGACCCCATACCTAATTGGAACTCAGTGTGCTGGCGTTTTCTCCATAATTCCACTGACGTTGGGTACAACAACAGCAGCTGAAAGTTTATGTTTACGTTTAACAGTTTATGTTTAAAAGAAGAATGCGGGGACTGGGGCCCCACCGACTACAGCCCCTCCCATGAACAAGCCCCACCTACTCAATTGGGATTCTTCCCTGAGGACCCTTCCATAGTCACCGCGTGGGACGGTCTCACCGCAGCTCACAGAGAGCTCTGGGCCACGGTCCAAGTAACCACTCTAGGAAGGGGCCGGGGCAACTGAGTCCCAGCTGCCTGCCCCACTCCATCCTTTGCTCACAGGAGTCTGAGGGCCAAGGGGTCCCAGTGGCAAACATCACTCCGAAGATGTAAAACTGAAGTGAAATTGCCCAGTCCCGCCACAGCCACTTCCGACTCCAACCACGCCCCTCCCCCTCTCAGGACACCCAGACTCCTAGACTCACCATTTCCCAGCTTCAGGGATGTCCCGGCGTCCTCCCTACAGATCTCCCAGTACCTGCAGGTCACAGGGTGACAGAGGGCATTGCACAGACACCTGGATGCTCCAGGAGCAGCAACGGCTGAAGAGGGAAGCCCAGATCAGCGCCCAGCTCAAGAGACAAGCGCTGCTCGGCATCCCAGGAGCTGCCTCCTCCCTTCCGGCTGTTCATCTCATTGGACAGTTTATGTCCGAGCATCTCTGATTGGATAAGGCCTCAGGCCCCACCTCCCTGTCCTTGAGTGACAGCACTGCCATCCCACAAAAGTGTGAATGAGGCCAGAATGCTAACAGTTGCTTTTTTGTTGTTTGTTTGGTTTGGTTTAGGAGGGGTTTTGTCTGTTTTTTTTT